TTTTTTTTTTTTTTTTTTTTTTTTTTTTTTTTTTTTTTTTTTTTTTTTTTTTTTTTTTTTTTTTTTTTTGTTCTTGTTGGGATAGTGTGGTTCATATAGCTTCTTGGTGATGTCAAATCATACCAAATTCTTTCGTAGTTACAGCCTTGTCTTGATTATGACAGATTGGAAGGGCAGTTCTGTAATCTCTTTGGTAGTATCTTCTTCCTTCCCTTTGGTTAATATATATCATCGTTTCTTAAAAAATATTATTAAAAAAAATAAAAAATATCTATATACTCAATAGACTGCCCAATATAATATTAATCTCACGCCATATACTGAATATATGATCAGAAATCCAAATGCCATGAGGAAGCACTGTTTACCTGTATGTTTAAATAATGCCACACAGGATCTGATTCAGGATCCAGCTCCAGTAGTAGTCTCACAGTGTTTTCGAGCTAAATGAAACATCAAAAGAATAATTAGCCACCCAAGAGTTTGCATACAAATGAGAACATCGAAAAAATGAGTTGATAATACTATTACATTACAATATACATGAACAAGCCACAACTTCTTGTAGCTTTGGAAGGAATTTAGGAAGAATAGAATTTTAAAGACTCTCCTAAAATTGTGAACATAATTAGGTATGAACATATTTCTACAAAATTAATTATAGAAAGACGAAGGCTATAGCTGTCTGTGTTCATTTTACAAAATTACCCCGTTTATTTGTACTAGATTGACCCATGGATTACACTGAGGCTAAATTTTTGCAGGTTGCTTTGACCCAGAAGCGCAGTTTGAATACCTTTATTTAAGACAATTTGTGTACAGTCTACGGTTTATCTGCATATCTTCCATATCCAACCATCTTAATAACAATCGCACAGCTTCAAGATATATAATTATGTAGTATTCAGTTTCAATTATAGAAAATGCATGCATTAAATCTGTTTTACTAAAGAAATGCATTGATCTAAAATAAATTGCTCAATCAGAAAATTGAACGAACATTTCCTAGGAGGAAAAAGAGTATATAAAACTATCCACTGCAAATCAAAACCAAAACCATCATCAGTAATATGTATATGATGCAATCAGTCTAACTCAACTAAAGCTACGATGGAAAGTTTTGAACTGACGAAGATGCAAACATCATTTCTTTTCTTGTACACAAAGTTATCTTAAATATATTTCCGTAATTAGTATCTTGGAGTGAACTAAATGCAAAATAAAGAGCTGACTCTTTAATTTGAGAGCAACAATTGCTGCTCCCAGCACAGACTATAAAGATGCTTTTGGCAGCCACAAGGTATCAGGAAGATATCCAAAATTTTCTATCCTGTAGAAGTCTAGAGGATGAAGTGAAAATAATGAAAAGTGGTTAAAAAGAAAGCTCACGTTTGTCAAATCTATTTTTGGGTCTTCCATTGACTTGTAAAGTGTGCCTTTGAACTCGTGCACCACTTTTTCAACCTCTTCAAGAACTTTTTTCAAAATTCCCACCTGAAACCAACATGTAGCATTGAGAATTTAATTGTCATCCAACAATTCATCAATATCCAACTACATAAACCAAATACATCGTCTCTAACTTACATTTGTTATACATTATATTTTGGGAACTATGCAGTGTTATACCACAGATCTTTTTTTTTTTTTTTTATAAGAGTTATACCACAGATCTTAGGAAATGATAGTTAGAAACAATGAATTAAATTGGCTATGTGAAAGAATTAAGATGCATGGACAAAATCTAGGGTATTTCCATATTCAAACTGACGTTAGTGTCTAAGCATTGCCTGTAAATGGGTAGAAAGTTGCACAGAGTAACATCAGGAGAGCGAAAAAAGTTGCACAGAGTAACATCAGCAGAGCGAAAAAAAAAAAATACTCAAACTAAAATTTCACAAATCAAACAATGTAACGAACCTTTCTGGAAACTTCATTTGTCAGTTTTATCTTAAATTTCCAGGAAGGCATGATCCAGTGCAAAACCATGGGTTATATCATTTTGTTCATTTGATAGTTCGAAACTTTAGGCACTTGGATGACACAAAGATAATGTTTCCAATGTCCAAAAACTGTAATGCCTTTCACTAGAAATCTTCCCATAAGCTATCATTAACATAACGATGCTACATTTTATAACAAACATACAGAATAAAAGCTTACCACACATCAGAAGGATATTAAGGTACAGAATAATCTTAGGATAAAGGAAGTCCAGTAATTTTGCAACTGTCATATATAAAATAAATTGCACAAAATAATGTATACTATACAGCACAATTGGCTAAAGAAAGCAAAAGGTAGGAATCCAAAAGGCAGCTTAAACGAAATACTTATCAACATTTTTCACTCTGCATTGAACATGAAAACTATTATTGCAGAAACAGAATATGTTTGCCAGATTTGACATGACTTGGAAGAGCATGAAGAACGGAGGAAGTTATATACAAAGTTTTGAAGGACAGAGCACTAAGGTTTCCTTGCAAAGGCAGATTTAGAAAACACATTGTGGAAGTTGACAGAGAGTTAAGAGTGGCTTCAACCCAAAAATCAAAATTTGTCCTCCCTCATGCATTGTGGTAAGACATTATGTAAACAAAATATGAGAGGATGTAGAACTGAAGTTTACATGAGATGGCAAAGCAATTGACTTTGCTTTTTTGTACTCCCTAACTGCCAGGTCAAATTCACCCTTACTAATGCTGCTGCGAATGGTACTTGGCAAGTTAAAAAGCGTTCTGAACCTTTGCAGCATTCCTTGAACTGATCTGATCTTTTCAGCTTGTGCCTACAAAAGAAACTTTATATAATCCATTTCCAATCAATAGTTCAAAGCTTCAAAGCCCCTTGCTCAGTTTTGAATCTATACTGACCTGTCTTTCAAACAGAGACTGAAAAGCCCGATTGGCTTGCTTGCTTACTCCTTGAATACAATTATACAAATGTAAAGTTCCAGAACCTTCAGGGTCTTCTTCAATTCGTCTCAACTTGGACTCAATATCTAGGAATTAGAAACATTGCCATCACAATCAATAGACAATGCATATTCATATCAGACGAGGAAACTGTAAAAAGCTGAATAAAGAAGAAAAATGTTGGAGTAAATATTAACTCAGTAGCAGATAGTCATATTCAGCTGAAAAGAAACGATTTTTGCATACCATCAATTGTGGTTTTGCATGATACAAAGCAGTCAAAATTGTCTTTGACTAACTGTTTTCTTTGCTGCGTCCGTCCTTTAAGGTCAGTTTTTATAGAAAAAGCGCCTTTCTCCAAGTCTCCTGCACTTGTGTCTTGGTGTATCCGAGAAATGAAAAGTTTTGCATCAAATTTTTCAGAGAAATACATCAACTTGTCTGCCAACATGCATATAAAATATGTGTCAGCACCAATGACAACAAGTATTATCGCGAAGTACCTAACTTATGCAACCAACAAAAATATCAAGTACAAACGCCCGACCACATCTTAATGTAATTATAATCATATAATAATATTCCGTAACACTTACAAGAAACAAAGCAAGAGAAAACACTTCATAGCCAGTTAGAGCAAAGAGAGATATGGTCTGGTAACCAGAGAAGGAGATGTACATATAACATACTCTTCCTAAATAGACATACTCTTCCTAAATAGAATACAATCCTCATTAACGAACAGAAGGAACAGAATTCTAAGAACTCAAGATGACTCTGAACAATGGCCTTCCAAGGGCTACAGCCCAAACCCAAAGAAGCATATCGGGAATACCAAGCCATTGGAGCAAACCCTATATTATTATGGATAATCAAATTGTTCTCCTCATGAGAAACAATAACAAGGTGGATATGAATTTGTACGCCAGAACCAAAAAAGAAAATATACCTCGGAAGGCACCATCAATGAAATTTTTCTCAGATTTAGGAGAGCTCTCAGATGTCTCCGTGATCAATCTTAATGATTTGTTGTCTATTACTCTGTAAATACAACAGAAAACCACATTAGCAAGAATGTTTTTTATATAAGCATTTCTATAATTTTTTCTTCTACAAGAAACAAGCTTTTGTTGATATAATAAAAGAAAGAAAATGTTCAAAGATGCAAACTGAGTGAAAAGAATAATCAACCAATAACAGCAAAAGCCAAAATAAATCATTGAAGAAAAAGGTGCACAAGGGAGAAACTATCCCAAAAGTAGAACCACAAAGACCAAAATGTCACTAAACCTAAAGCCCTATCCATCGAAAAGCTGCAGCTAACCCACTATCTTAGGGACAAAATTTAGGAAGAGAAGTAGCTCAATGTTTAGTTTCATGACAACACATTTTTTTCTTTTTTCTTTCCTATTCTTTAATCATTTCACTTGTCAGAAGAGATTCTAAGACATACCTAACAAAAAAGAAGGTTGAGTGATATTCTGAGATTGTAGAGGGAGAACTTTCTTAAGCTGTCCCAATTAACTCTAGCAAAAAACTTGAACATACATGGAATGAGGCAGACAAGAATTCGTGATCACATGGAATTGATATCAAGGAAAGGTTGAGTGATATTCTGAGATTGTAGAGGGAGAACTTTCTTAAGCTGTCCCAATTAACTCTAGCAAAAAACTTGAACATACATGGAATGAGGCAGACAAGTGTTCGTGATCACATGGAATTGATATCAAGGAAAGGTAGGGGGTAGTTTGAAGTTCAAATCCATTCCGAAGGGCAGGGAGGAGACAAAAACAACGATTGTACTACTGCTAAGAATGGGGACCTAATATATAGAGATTTTTAGAATATCTTTTGACCATTGAACTTGGCTACCACCCCCAAGTTTGTGTTCCTTCATTTCAAAGGCTAAGGCAGCTTCTCTAATAAATAATTAGTAAAAGGCATTGTCAACTTCTGTCCACTTAAATTGAGTGCTTGCTATAGTCCTAATCTATGGACAGGAGGAAAAAGGAGAAAGGCAAGATGAATTGAAGAAGAGAAAGGAGCTAGAGTAGAGAGCAGGTGATAACCCTCAATATTATTTATCAATAATGGTGTACAAGACAAAGAGGAGATTTATAGAGCTATCCATCTCTCTTAACCTCTACTGTGTTAAAATTCCCAGAGCATACCCTTTCATCAGCTCTCTAATACAGTCCCTCTATCTAACTCTTTCTCTAGACCCCAGCTCCACTCACAGACCTTCTTTGATATATGTAAATAATCAATGGTCTATCAGGAGCCAATAGGTGGGGAAAGGAGGCGAGGGGAGGGGGAGAAAGAAAGCAAGTTGAAGGAGTCATGAGCATTCAAATCTAAAAGCTCCACTAAAATGTGAATTAACAATCATATACCTAATATCTCACCAAAGACCTTAACCCCATTGTCGATGGTATTAAAAATATGTCATGAATATTCAAATGAAACTCACTTCAATAATTTTTGGGATGTAAGCGTGTATCAATCAATTTCAATCAGATTATTGGGTATCAGTTAAGATCTTTTTGGAATTCTTTTGCATGAACTTCAGTTGTCATTGGTTCAAAGCCATAATTTACATTCTATGCTCAAATGTCCTTCTAGGATAAACGGAGTCTATCAAGGAAGGAGGGATTTTTACTCATCAGCGCACTGTTACTTGCCCTTATATTCCCAATATCTAACTCCTTGACGCCAACTGGTTTTATCACCCTCTCCCAATTGACTAAATGTGATCCTCTCCCTTCCTCAATCCCTTTTGAAAAGAAGTCCCTCACAAGCTTCTCCAAGGTTTTTCTAACTTCCACAAGGATCATAAAAAAGACCAAAAATAGGTTAGAAAACCACTCGGCACAGGTTAAAAAGGAAAAACTCTTTTTCCAAGATGAGAGACTCCTACGAACTTTGTCGACTATGGGATCTCAGAACGGGATGTTTTCTGGTGTTGTGACAAAGGAATGCACACGTAGGATGAGGGAAACAATCCTTATGTCACATCCTTTGGTTATTTCATTTTCTGATTAAATAAGAGTCCTTTGATTTACTCTACAATATTAGCAGTAATTTGTGTTTATTTGCAACATTATTTCCTTTTCTGTAATGGACTTTTCTTCTACTTAAGAAACCATTGTCATTCATTGTGAATAAAAGAAAAAAGAGAATATTTATTCTCTTAATATTCTAAAATGGTATTAGAACCAACAAATTAAACCCCTACACCTAGCAGCCGCCAGAACTAACCCCAGCTGCCATTGCTTGATAAGCAACCCAGCTGCCTAGGCTTCTTCACTATCAGACTTGTGCTTGTACAAGAAATGTCATTATCAGTCGTCCAAGCTCCTTCCAATTAGCACCATTGTTTGTCCACATCTCCCTCTAACTCCTAACAATCTCCCAATTCACCAAATGAGCTCCTTCAACTTCCTCCACACCTTCCCACAAAAAGTCCCTCATAAGCTTCCTGAAACTATCACACTGAACATGATGCTCTAAACAGGGAGAAACAAAGTGAGAATACCACTTAACACCAACCGGATTAGGGTAAGTCTACCTCCTTTGGAGAAAAAACTTCTCTTCAAGGAGGCCAGCCTTTTTCTCACCTTGTCCGCCATGAGACTCCAAAAAGATACCTGCCTAAGGTTGCCTCCAAGAGGAATCCCCGAGTAAAATGTTAGTAAGCTTTCTTGTTTCCAAGCTTCAACATCAAGACAATTATCATATTCAGGAAAAGATAAACGTACTTCAATATTGAGGGCATTTATATTCAAAGAAGAGTAAAACAAAGTTTAGACTTTCTTATGTCACATTTATATTAGGACTTTCTTACCCTTAGTCCAATCCCTGAGTAAAATTTTCCTTAACAAGCTTCAACATAAAGACTGATTCAACCCTGCTTCCAAGGAAGCTTTCCTCTTCTCATAACTGACCGTGTAATCCAACTTCAAGCTCCCTAACCAACTTTGAACTACCTCTTTCAATCATCTTAGACCAAATTCCATTCTTAGGAGTAGGGGTCAAGACTAAAGGATCTTCCTTAGACACGACAGCATGAATGCCCATTGGAGCTAAAGCATCCCAGCCTAACGACCAACTACCAATTACCAATTTCCCTCACTAAAGGGAAAACCCTAATCAAAGACACTGTTTTCATTAAGATGAAAGGAAGTGTGAGATAAATTGCGCATTTCAGAAGTAACAAGAAGTTCAATCAAATGGCTAGTTTTACCAAATTAAGGACATTTATATTCGCCCCAAAAGCTTCTTCTCCCTCCTTACGTCAGAATTACAACGTTGCTTTTTTTTTCTTCTTTTTTTACCTGATTTTAATAGTTGGAGCCCCTTTCTATGGAGGCTCTTGCCTTTTGGCTTGGGTTGTTTGCTGCATCACCGGCATATCTTTTCTTTCATTTTATCTAAGGAAAGTATGTTTTTTCATCCCAAAAAACAATTTTTTCATAGAGAAAATGAAAGGGTATTGACATACTTACTCCTCATTCTCCAATCCCTTTTTTTAAAGTTCTCCAAGGCATGATCTTTTAAAAGCTAAGACTCTTCTACTATACAAAAAAAGACAAAGATTTGTAGGTTTGATAGAGTGGGTGCTCTCAAAAGTATGTCTTCTACCAAATGACATTCTCTAGTTCCATTCTCAAACTGTTGGGAACGGGAAGCAAGTGTAAAAATACTTCAAAGAGGGATTGTCCTTTCTAAAAATCCAAAAGACAAAAGGCACAACCTACTAGTTGTTTTAATGAGGCATAAATGGAAGAATTTATCCTAGAAGCGTATGAACTAAAAAAGCTGCATGAAACCATCACAAAGGTTTATTATAAAGAACAGGGTTGTATCTAAAAGACATAGAAAAAGATCTTTGCTCATTTCTCTCCTTTTTTTTTTTTTTTTTTCGGGTAAGCAATAATTTGATTGATGCCTGAAATTTACAAAAGGGATGAAAAATCCATGATGGGTACAAAAGGTCCACAGCATAAATTGCAATGATGTGATAATTTACGCCTCCTAGAACTAGAATAATTACTAACACCACCAATCAAATACCAAAATTCATGTTCAAAACGTTACTACAAACATAAAGTTTATGAAAATAGTCATAAGACCATGAAGCAAGTACAAAATGCAAGCCAAAAATAAACTTACCCCAACCCAAGTGGATCTACACATTCCATGCCACGAGGGAATGACTGCAAATGGCTGAGCCCCGGTCTACCAATTGCAGACACCTTTCGGTCAAACTTCTGAGGAATCGGTGCTGTTCTTGTCTCCCGCATTTCACGTACTCTTCTAGCAAGCTGTGCAAGCAAATAGTATTCATCCACAGATGATGAATCATTAATAGATATAATATTGAGAAAGCATTCTCCCCGTCTAAGTTGGGGAGGGCAAGTTCCACAGTACAGAAGAAATTAATCCAAGAAACGTGATAGACAAAACTAGATTGCAGCCATCTAAATGCATAAAACTACTGGTTACTGATCGCCGTTTCTGAAAAAGCTTGACAAAGGCATCTAAATATACTTTTCAAATGATTTCAACAACAAGAGGGAAGATAAACATTAACAACTCTCCTAAAACAGCTAAAACTTGAAGAAACTGCTGTATAAGTCGAAAAATTGAAGCGAAATTAAAGTAACGATGTAGAAGAACCTCGTCTTCATCAACATGCTTCCAGCAATGAGGCTCCTCGCCGTCCCAGCCAGGATCATCGTCCCTACCAGAGGACCTAGCCGCCTTACCGCCGCGACCTCTAACTGCGGACGTTCGACGATAATTGGCGGAATCCTCATCACCACTTGAAATGCTCAGCATCTCGACCTCCGAATCGTCATCGTCGTCGACAACTCTCCTACCACCCTTAGGCTGCGCTTTACTGCCACTAGTTTTAGAAGAAACAGCAGCTGCAGAAGCCGATTTCCGGGAGTGAGCCGGCGGTCGGACGTAATTAGCAACGGGCTTGCCAGATTTAGAGACATAATTGACATCGCGCTGTTTTTGCTCCTTGAGAGCCATCCGCAGCAGTTCATCCTCATCCAGGTCGTCGCTGTCGGTGGACATTTTCGCCGGATTCTGATTCAGTATCACCGGAAGATTGAGAATTAAGAGTAGATCTGGAAATCAGTGGTAAAAGCCTCAAATCAATTGGAATTTGGAATTTTGAATTGGGAATTGGGAATTGAATATGAACAGCGCCCGAGGAAGTAAGAACAAAAAATGGAAGGAAGATGAAATCGAAGCACCAAATGAAGAAGCCGTCTTTTCTCTTCACCGGAGGGACACGTGGCACGTACACAAAAATACCCTTAAATCGGTACAAATTAATGATTCTTGTTTTTTTTTTTTTTTTTTTTACAGATTTTTAGTTAAATAAAATAATTAAATAAATAAACAGTTTTGGACCTATACTTTTATCAAAATAAGAATTTATTATAATTCTTTTTAATATATATATATATATATATATATAAATATGATAATTGAGTTAATAAATTTTAGTATTTAATAATTTAGTCCGTCCAGGATTATTGGGAGTGGTTAATTTAGTCCGTCGAAGATCATGGTATGAGACCAAAGTCCAAAGCAAAGCCATGAGAGCTTATGCTCAAAGTGGATAATATCATACCATTGTGGAGAGTCGTGATTCCTAACATGGTATCAGAGTCATGCCCTAAATTTAACCATGTCAATAGAATCCTCAAATATCGAACAAAGAATTGTGAGCCTCGAAGGTGTAGTCAAAAGTGACTAAAGTGTCGAACAAATGGTGTACTTTGTTCAAGGGCTCCAAAGAAAAGAGTTGAGCCTCAATTAAAGAGAGACTATTTCCCACGTTGATTAATCTAGTGGAAAATCATGTGTTTATAAGTGAGGAATACTATCTTCATTGGTATGAGATCATTTGGGGAAGCCCAAAGCAAAGCTCAAAGTCGACAATATCATACCATTGTGGAGAGTCGTGATTCCTAACATAGTCGGTATATCTTAAAATTTTATAATATTGGAAAAAAAAATCAATTTGTCAATTTTTATTATATTATAACCTAAGATTAGTTTTAATCGTTAAAATAATTATTTGTAATTTAAAGTAATTTAGATATAATAACTAAAATAGACATACTATTAAAATTTGCATATAATTTTAAAAATTTTAAGTTCTTAAATAATTATTTAGATAGATATATGATTTTGACTTAAATTTATATATTGTTTGATATAGATTATTGGTTGAGTATAAGAAAAATAGGTGCCGAAAAAATAATTTTGATATTAATTAAAGAAAAATAGTTGCATTGTACGATTCAATTTGAAAAATTATGATATAAAATTTGTTTTTTTTTGGAGAAAAATATGTGTAAAATTATGTGTAGAACGTGCGCACTCGGTTGAGTAGGACATGTATCACACAAGTATAGAGTCATTTGTCGAACGCTAGAAAAAGAAGGAAAAACAAGTTGCACGCCTGAATAGTTGGGATTCAAAGACCCATTGGATTCATCTTGAGCCAATAACCCGTGCATCACGACCCGACCTTATCCACTTGAACTGACCCAGTTACGTGCGAGCACCCTCTCTACTGTAGGCGTGAAGGAGCGAGTGAATCCCTTTTTCATTCCTTCGACTCTCGTTCGTTTGTTTTTCGCCCCAGTTTCGATACTGACACTATTTCAGTGTGAATCAAGACCTACCAGAGAAGTTCTGAAATTTTTGGGCCCATAATCAGTGAGAAATGAAACTTGAAAAAAGCATGCACCGACTAGGTAAATAGCCATTCAGAATTTTCTCAAGCAATGTTTGTAGGGATCGCTAGGACGTACTAGCATGCGAGCATATCTTTCCTTTAGTAGGTGGAATGTGCACGTTTAGGACTCTAGAATGGCAATTTGGATGAGAATACTATGTATGTTAAGAAAAATTACCAAAATACCCCTACGATGAGAATTAATGATCCACGACGATTTTAATGTTTTCCATTGTGATAGAATGGAGGATGGGATATTGTAGTTTGTGCTCAGAGCGATTAGTGGATGCTATCTCCTCATTGAACTTATATGAATGCATGATATAATATGTTTAGTTCTAGGGATATTGTAGAGCGTGTTTATTTGAATAAAGCTAAGACTAGGGCATTAGAGTTAGATCGGCTAGATGATGACCTAGGTTAGAACGCCCTAGTAGACTAAGCACCTTAGAATCATGAGCGACAATCAAGGGGTATAGACCTAGTGCACCCGGACTAATAAAGACTCGGAGAGTCGGAAGATAGTAGTCTAGAGTAAAAAGTCCATGTTAAGCCACTTAGTCGTCCTAGGAACCTAGTAGACCATCTCAACACCCAAGGTGACCAAAATGATATTTAGATTATGTCTTCGATGCTTTAGGTGATCAATAGGAATATCTCCCTAACAAAGCATGCATGAGTCAACCAAGTTAAGATTAAGGCACTAAAGCCAAAGTGGTTTACACGTTGACCTAGCTCAATACATTTCTAGTAGATTGAGCATTCTAGGATCGTGAGTGGAGATTAGAGGTCTAGACATGAGTACACTCAGGGATTGGATTAGCCCCAAGAAGCTAGTCCCGATAAGATTTAAACTACCTAGCTAGATGTCTCTAAGAACCTAGTAGACCTCCACGACATCGAGGAATGACTAATGTAGCTCACCAGGCTGTTAGGAGTATGAATGATGTTACCAGAGTCTCCACCTCCTATCTCCTCTAATTCACACTTAGTGCTAGCAACACCACCAAGTGGTAGTAGTTTAGGCACGATCGAGCTATGTCTAGGCCAAATAGGGCAATATGTCGAGGTGGCTAGATGCCCAACCTTATGGAAAATGGCTAATGGCCTCCTAATCAAGGTCACTATGTTTTAAAAAAAACTGCCCCATTGTAGGACTATGTAGGTTGATACATTAACTCGCCAACACACGAGGTCATTCCCTTCAAAATAGGGTAACTTTATGGTCATGTGGAAAGGTTCACCAACTAACGCTCCATGAATCATGTTCAAATTATTAGACACCTTACTATCCCATTAGATTACTCAAGATATCGGTCCTTCACTACATAGACAAGACAATCTATCTAAGTCAAAGAACAAAAAGGTCGAAAAAATGTCACGACCCGATTTTCAAGACTTTGAATTTCGTACCGTGACTACAAAAACAAGACAAAAGCAAATAGACCCAAAAATTAAAATCGAAAACAATACAAAAAAGTTGTCGTTCAAGTTATTTACAAGCGGGGAACGAGAATGTGATACAAATTATTACAAATGACAACCCACAAAAATACAATCTAATTAACGTCTTAGGTCAAAACCTCTCTATAATAGTGTAGCTCCTGAGCACCTCCCCACCTCGACTAGTACTTGAAAAAGAAAAGGAGAAAGGGGTGAGTATAAAAATACTCTCATTGCATCCAATTCCTAGTAGGTTTCCACGGGCTTTTCTCAAGCTCTAAAAGGTTCCCTTATATGTCGTAAATGCTATCAAGGCATGGGTCCGTTACCACATTCTCTAGGGTCAAACATCACGAATCTTCAACCCTTGTAGGTCCTAATCCTCTCTCACGGGATTAAAATTTAGTTTAAAACACAGAAGTGTGCTATAAAATTTGTGAACATTCGTTCGTAATATTTAAATTCAAAAAGAAAAGAAAATATATTTGAAAGTAAATATTATATTATTATTGCAATGTGTGGTACAATAGGAAGTATAGGAAGGTTTTTATTTAATGAAAGCCATAGATGATAGAAGCAAATAGATGAGATTATATGATATGGTCGTCTCCTTTATTGAACTTAATTCAAATGCCTTTGTTTATTTATTCTTTTTCCTGCAAAACAAACATGAAGCTTAGCCTCAAATATATGCATATGTTCGAGTAATTATATGTATATCGTAATATACTCACCTTATAATGAGTCCTTATTGGCCTAGTAGTAGTAAGGCGATGGTGGGGGAGGAGGCGACTTGTACACGGGCGACGGTGGTGGAGGAGACTTCTTTGGTTCTGGTTGGGGTGGCGACTTCTTTGGCGGTGGTGGAGGAGACTTCTTTGGCGGTGGCGGTGGAGGAGACTTCTTTGGCGATGGCGGTGGAGGGGACTTCTTTCGTGGTGGCGGTGGAGGAGGCGATTTCTTCGGTGCTGGTGGAGGGGGTGGCTTCTTTCGTGGAGGTGGTGGCGGAGGAGACTTCTTTACCTCTGGTGGAGGGGGTGTCTTTTTTGGTGGAGGAGACTTCTTTGGCGACGGTGGTGGAGGAGATTTGTATTCGTCGTCTTTCTTAGGAGGTGGAGGCGAGTATTTGACAGGTGGTGGAGAAGAGTATTTGACGGGTGGACAAGGAGAGTAGTAAACAGGTGGTGGAGGAGAATAGTACTCGTCGTAGCCTTCAGCAGATGTGGATGATAAGCTTAAAGCTACCACGAAAACTGCGATAACAAGATGAACAATGATAGACGGAGGACTCATTTTTGCTTCTACTTTGAGTTTTCTTAATTCTGATTTTGAATTGAACCTTTCTCGACCTTTATATAGATTTAAGGTTCTTGATTACTCCTCCAATACTAATTAAAGAGAGCGTAGAATTTGAAAGATTATATTTAATTGATGATTTATGTTTGTCGTAATTTAGTTAATTTGTGAATAACCTATAAAAAATTATTGAAAACAACTTATTTAAAAATAAAAAAAAAAGGAGAGGTTATAATATATTTTCCATAATATTAAGAAATTTGTAGAAATTAAAGTTAATTCCCTCAATATTATATCATTATATCCCCCACTATTTTTATTATTCACCGAACGAAGAAAAAAAAAAACTACTTTGTAATTTTTTAAATATCTTTAAAATAAAAATAAAATTACAAAAATACAGTTTTGGATAGAAACCGTTAATTTTTTATTTTTTTATTTTTTTTTGTATAAAAAAACTCTTTTAACTTAATGAAAAAAAAAATCAAGAATACCCTTTTAATATAAAAAAAAATATTTAGAAAATACTCTTCCTTCCTTTACTCCGACCACATCTAGGGTTCCTCGAA